ATATTTTTCATTTTCATTTTTACAAAATGGGAAACAAACGCAGCCAAATAAAGACAGCTAATTTTATGAATGTAGGTCAAAGATCAATGATTCTTATAAAACCACTATTTGTTTCTCATTTTTTTCCTCCACTTTCAAAAGAAACAGAGTCGTTTTTTGGCCCACCAGCATGATTTTTTTGACTTGAAAATGTGTGCACAATGGTTGGAAAACCCATTTTCATTTTGAAAAAAAAATGTGCAGCAAACACAAGCAAAGTAAATTAAATCAAGGTTCCAAACTTTTTCATTTTCAACAATACAGTCCCAAACATTTAAGAGTAGGAGAAACGGTCCGTCAAAATCATATGCAATATATATACCTTCCGTCCAACAATCCATTAGCCAAGCGCGTGAATTTAATGATTTGTAAAAAAAATTAATTAATAAAGAAAAACGCAAAGTCTTCATCTTCCTCACCCACTCCGGCCACCATGTTTCTTAACAATACAACATAAAGAAGTCATCTAGAGCTTTGGGAACCAGTTAACACAATACCAAACAACATAGTGTCGCTATGTAGTGGAAATCATCAAATATTCCTGCATTGTCACCATGTGGCAAGTAATGATCTCATTGCTGTTATATCTATGTACAAAAGCAGATATATAATACTTCTATTTAAATCTCAAGAACAAGAAGAAAATGAGCCTCAGTCCCCAATATATTTGGATCGACCGAACACCTTCTCTTCTCTTCATTGATAGATTATAATTTGGTCTTATAGTGGCATTGCTGTTTAGTAATATTCCTGCTGGAAATGCTTATTTCCAAATCACAACTAGTGTAGGAGACTACACGAATATTGAACAATATGCGTACTTTTCCAGCAATTCTCGTGTAAGTTTGGAGAGGCAACGTACCAGATCTGATGTCGGAATACAAATTGGAGTTGGAAAGCACCCGATCCGCCATAAGTGTCAGCGTCAAGTTCATGATCATCGAGTCACGGGCGCCAATTTTCCCGGCCGGAACGGGGACCTCACCCACCACGTCGCCTCTGTATTTTAGTAAAGCAGTGCTGTTTTTGTACTTGAAACCCACTCTGTTGGGGTTCTTCACGGCGATGCTGGTATCGACGGAGACATTCAAGAGGACCCTGAGCCTGGCCACGTCAAAGGAGAAATCTAGATCCGAAAGAGCAACGGAATTGACGGTGATGACGGGACGCTTGGCCTTGAAAACTGTGAGCCCTAAAATCAGGAAAATTAGAGCTAAAGCTAAAATCACAGATATCACCACCAAACATATGATTTTTCTTCGGCGTTTTTTGTCGGGGTTGTGATCGTGCTGAGCCATCATTGTCTTGTTCTCCTTCTGCTTCGACGATTCCACCTCCATTAACACTCTTCTTCCTCTTCTGCTGCTATACAAATCGTGTGGAACAATATTGTAGTAGAAACACTAGGCGATAAGCAGTATTCTATAAGCTATTAACAACCCATAAAAGTTCTGCTGAAGAATCGGAATCGTACAAACAAAACTAGTAAATTGGAATTCAACAGTTTGGCCGAAATTTAAATTGTTCACGGGATTCTGGGGGCGAGGTAGGTGATTAACATACTGCTCCCATTAACATATAGGAGTAGGGATGAGCAGGATTTTGAAAATTAGGTGGTAATTCGATAGAGATCTATAACTACAACGCTGCCACAAAAAAAGTCGGTATGAATAGAAACTTTTAGGAGGTTATTAGATGGCAGAGGTAGCTGTACATTAATTACTTGTATTTCGAAAGTAGAATAAGTTCAGTTTAATGTTTTCAAGTAAGGCTAAATGTAAAAAGTAGGTTTCAATCTTTGTTTTTTCCTATTTAACCTTTAATTTTGTCCTTTTCGTTGCTCGATTTTGTTAAAAAGGTACATAAGCCCCTGTTTGATTCTCATTAAATTAAATTATATTACATTTTATTTTTTTCTCTTTTATTTTCAATCACACAATCTTCCATAAAATAATATTACACGTAAATCGAAAAATTTTCTTTCTTTTTCAACCACTCATTTTTCTAAAAAAACTATTCTCCCCATTTTCATTTTCATGTAATGGGGATCAAACCGAGGCTAATATTTAACTTGTATAACTTTTTGAGTAGTTAATGAAACAATAAATTAAAAATGAAAAATAAACCTCGACCCTAGTGACACTACATGGATCCAATTCAAATCCTTTGTACTCGCACTATGCCTCTAACGTGTGTTTTCCGTCCATTATAGATTATTCTATTCGAACAGGGGAGTGATGCGCTTGTTTGAATAGGGCTGCCTTCCATTATGGATTATTCTATTTGAACAGGGAAGTGACGTCCTTGTTTGAGCAGGGCCGAGGCGGCCCTGTTCGAGTAGCACACCCATCCATTATTACTATTTCATCTCGTTTTCTTACCCATTTTTACGATGGGATGGCAATTTTGAGATGGAGATGGAAGGAGGAAGGATGTAATTTATTAATATTTTTGTCTTTTGCTTTTTTTTTTTTAAATTAAAAATTATTATAGCAATTTATGTTTTGTATTACCCAACGGCAGAGACTACTAGAAGTCCAAATGTTACCCAAAAATAAAAAATAAAAATAAAAAACGGCTGATAATCTTAAATCGGATGGAGAAAAAGTGGAGGACCTATTTACCACATTAGACATAAGCTGAAAAGCTTTGAACAATTTTATTTATTATTATTATTTTTTTAATAATTTAGAGGACCCGTATGAGATATTTTGGTTTATACTTTATATAGAGCATATTTACTAATTTTGACCCATCCAAGCAACTTGTGCATGTTCATATTGTGCTTCCTAAGAAATAGGTTGCGAATCTTGTACAGTTGTACGTCTCCCCGTCGGGGTGATTTTTAGAAAGGCTGGAAAATTCTTTCTATTTTTCACAATGGCCTCTTTTATTAAAAATACTATTTTGCCCTTACTAAAGTTATTTACAGGATGTATCTTATATCTTTAAAAGTTTATCAATCAGGACCTATATCTATATTTTTCAATCTTTCGAACACCTTTAAATATTCTTTGTATCTAGATAGTTCTTCAAAGATTATAGGTTGGCCTTTATTGGTTATATATCCTCGAACTAATCCTTCTGAAATTTCTTTTTGTATATTTCTATGTTTGGTTATGATATCTTCTACCTTTCTTATTTCTCTACTAGTTCCTACAGAATCAAATCCTATATTATTTCTACAATTATAATCTATATCTTTATATATTTCTTCAATTTTTTCTTTACCAACAGGAAATATATCATCAAATTTTTCGTCTAATTTAAGTAAAAACGAAACATCTTTTTCATCTAAAAATAATATGAGATTATTATCACTAGTGGATATGGATGCTTGTAAATTGTTCATCAGAATAATAAAAACATAAGCATGTAAAAATAAGTAAATAACTTACAGTAATCAAGTGAAAATAAACAGGCTTTCCCTCCAATATGCTCTTATAGATGCGTTACATGTACTTAATTAATCTTCTGACTCAAGTAAAGATTTAAAATGTTTTTGAAATCATTTGGGTCCACAACTGCTTCCGCAAAAGGCTTTTCAATTAAGGTTGCATTTCTCATTCTAGAGAACTAGCCGTGTTTCCACAGACGCTATCTCACAGTATCCAGAGTCTCTGTTTTCACCTCTATTCAAACTCTTTTCAGAATCAAGTTCCTACTTGGAACGAAATTTTAAAAGATAACTCACACACAAGGTGCTACAATTTTGTTAGAAAACTGCCTTTTTTCCCCTAAACCATTTATCAAAGACGGGTACTTTGGCGTGGCTAACATCCATTCAAAATCAATATTTTGAAAATCTTTTAAAATCTCTATCTGTACTGCCGAGGAATCATGAGAAGTTTAACGAAATCCTTTTATGAAAGCTTTGTTGAACATAACAAACTTTACTTTGATATTCATAAACTGAAATTGTACATGCTTACAAACTATATTTACATACATTTGGTACTCACCTTATGAAGTTTAGAACTCCATAAGTGATTACCTTATTACACGCTTTACTATTTTCAAGCTATCTAATATTTTTCTGAATACAAGTGGTGTATACAGATTACAAAAGATCTATCTAAGATGTGTTTTCTCTGGGTGTTTTAGAGATAAGCTATTTCGAGATGTTCTCCTTCTTCCTCCTTGCCTCCTTTTATAGAAGCCTTTGAGAACCTTATCTTGACAGATGTTTTCCACATTTCTTTGTTGGGTAGCTAAGCCATCCTATCTTCACCGAATTTTTCCATTATCTTCTTGCTAGTGGACCTCTCCTTTTGAAATTAGATGCTTTATCTTTTGAGTTTGTCTGCCACTTGTAACAATTAGTGGGGGTAGTCACAATTATGGAGATTTTTCTTGCACTATTTTCTGTCTTTTAGTAGCCACAATTTTTCTTTAATAAATTTCTTTATTAAAGTAGTGATAAATGACTACTTTTATCACCATCACTTTTCCATTTTCGAATCAAAGAATTCTGAGGGGAATTCTTCATCAAGGGATGCTTGACTCATATCTTCAACTACACAGTATTCACAATGGTGATCACTGTAATTCCAACGTAATTTGCATAATTCTTTAGCCATATCTTCTGATCCATGCACTTGGTTGGAAATAATTGAGGATAATAAATAGTCGAAATAACAAATATCTTCTTCTTTTGTAGCCATCCTTGCATTGGAATAGATAATATGATCTTCAAATGGATAAACCCATATTTTTTCTTTCTCAGTGATTATCTGAGTTACATGTTCAAATATTTCTTTGTACCCTTTTACTCTTCTATTAAGCCATCAAATTAAGAATATCTTGATATCCATTTTTAACAACCTTTTGATTGGTTGGTAAAAAATGTTGATTTGTAAGTCCCATTTTTATCACATGGAACGATGAATGCATATATTCAAGAACGGGATCCCATTCCATGGTTGCTGAATGAAATCTGATATATATATTTGTTGTCTTGACAATTTCAGTATATCTTTTAACAGCTTTCCTAATATTGGCTGGAAGTTGAGCTATCTCTTTAAAATCTTTGCTAGGATATATACAAAGTATATTTCCTATCTCAAAACAATTTCGAACCCAGTTGGCTGGTGCTCCTGGATAAAAATTTATCTTGTTGTATTTTGAATAATGGAGAGTCTTCATCCATTTTCCAATCTCCAGATACCAATCTGATAAAATATTAAAAATAACAATAAAGAGTGTTACTTCTTCATGGTTATCTTTTCTGGGAATTTTTGCTTCATGGCATATTTTGACAATATCTTTTGGATCAATCCTTTCAATAGAAAGTTTAAATTGAGCTTGGCTCTGTGAAGAGCTACCTTCTCTTTTGATATCTTGAATATCTTTATTACCAGTAATAGGTTCAAGTTTTCCCTGTAAAGGGGTTCCTATTACCTTCTTTTCTTTCCCTTTATTCTCGGGGAAAGCGCTAGTATTCACAAGTCCCTGCGAAGGGATACTAGACTTGGTACAAGTAACTTCTGCCTCAAGAGCTATATTTTTGCCTCGAAAGCTATCTTGAATATTTTGAATTTGTGTTTCCAAATAGGAAACTTTTATCTCAAGTATTTGGACTTTCGTCCTTAATTGTTCCAACTCCATCCCTGCTAAGATAATCAGGAAGAAAGTTAGTTTTACCTTTTATGTATTCAATATCAAATTTGAAATATGAGAATCAAATTTGTATCCTAATAATATATCTATTGGTAATAGATGGATCAACATTATTTTTCAAAAATGTTTTAACTTGAGTATTATCAGTTCTAATCAAGAACTTCTTTGGTAATAGATAATCTTCATATTTCTGAACTCCTCTTTTCACAGCAATGAGTTCTTTTCTATTCGTCTCATATCTTGTCTCTACTTCTTTGAATGTTCCTGATGTATAACTTGCAAGTATCTCAGGACAAGAACAATCTTTTTCACATTTATATTCTTTATGATTCTTTTTCACCTTTAACACTGTCCCCAGTAATTATCTGAAGCATCAATTTCAAGTATAAAGCAATCTTCTTCTTCTGGTATTACAAGTTTGGGCAATACCTTTAATTCTTCTTTTACTTTCCTTATATTTTCACAATCTTGTTCTTCCCAAAACCACATTATATTTTTTCTTAATTTTGGAAGAAAATAATTTTTCAATTTGGCACAATTTTCAATGAATCTTTCAGCATAATTTAATATACCAAGGAAGTTTTGTAATTGTTTTTTATTTTTGATTTCTTCAGAAAATTTTTGAAATTTTTCTCCAATATGAGATTGTAGTTATAATTCTTCTTCTTTTATAAATAATCCTAAAAATTCTATCTCTGTTCCAGCTATCTCAGTTTTCTTTTGAGAAAGTGTAATATCATGTTTTTTCATAATATAACAAAATTTCTCAAGATGTTCAATATGTTCATCAATATTATTTGAATGAATAAGTAAATTATCTACATATGCAATACAAAAATGAGTAATTGGTTTGATTACCTCATCCATTCTCCTTTGGAATATCTGTGGTGCATTTTTCAACCCAAATGGTATTACATTCCATTTGTATTGTCCTAAAGGATTGGGGGTACTAAATACAATTAGTGGTTTACTTTCTTCTGTAAGCATGATTTGTCAAAACCCTGACTTACAATCAAATTTTGAAAATATCTTTTTGTTCTGTACTTGTTTAATAAGAGTGTCCTTATTTGACAAGTAACATCCATCAAATTTAGTAATTTCATTTAATTTCTTGTAATTTATCACCATTCTGGCTTTTCCTCTT